TCTCTCTCTCTCCCTCTCTCTCTCTCTCTTTCTCTCTCTCTCCCTCTCTCTCTCTCTTTCTATCTCTCTCACTCTTTTTGCTAATACACCTGTCGGCCTATATATTTAGGGATTCGAACAGAGCGATCTAGTCAAGAAATTCAAGAAACCGCGTCACCCTAAGGCAGTGTTTAGAATAAATAGAACACATTCTAACGTAGACAACCTATACAAAGCAATGGAGGTGGGGGGGGGGGGGGGTTTAAAGGTATGACACAGCACATTTACTCGGTGACGTCAATACCAAGGCCATGCTAGGGGAGACAAGTGGTGGTGGCTAAAATTAGCTCTACCTTGACGTCGGGCAAAAATATACCAAGACATATTCAAATTTCTACAAAATGCATGAGTGACAAACTGCCAGTGGGGCTGATAAAAATCCCCAGTTGAAAAAATAGTTTTCAAATTTTTGTCAACTTCTTAAAATATTGGGAAGTTAAAAAAGTGAACCCTTTTAAATGTTCTTGAAGCTGACGTCTGACAGATCACGCGGTAAAGCGACTTCAACCAGGGACCTTATCGTCGCCTGCTCATGTGCACGCCCTTAGACATATCGATAATAGTTACATGTAATCCGCTGTGGTTTGGATTTCGCAAAGGATATTCAAGCGCGCGCATGTGGCAACCCTTAAATCGACCACCGCCTAATCTAGGAACGTGGAAGCTGGCGACATTATCAATCAGAAATGATATGACCCCAGAGCCTTGCTACAATAGTCATCGAGAAGTCGGCCGATGGTTAGACCTCGAAGCTGTAGAAAGATATGGGATTGATTGGCCACTAGAGAGTAGTGATGATAACACAGAGAAATAGAGATGGAGCTTGTGAGAGAGAGAGAGTGAAAGGGAGAGATAGGGAGGGTAGAGAGAGGGTGATGTAGCGGAGTTAGAGGGTGAAATAGCTGAGTGAGAGGGGGGGGAGAATTGGAAAGAGAAAGGGGGGAAGAGAGCGAGAGAGGGTGAGATATAGAGGGGAGAGAGGGGACGGTGAGAGGGGGAGAGAAAAAAGGGGGAAGGAAGAGGGGGAGAAATAGGAAAGAGAGGCGGAGATAGAGGAAATAAAGAGTAGGAGAGAGAGAGAGAGAGTGGATAGAAATGTGAAAGAGAGAGATATAGAGTAAGGAGAGAGGAGGTGAGAGGAAAATACAGAGTGAGAGAGGTTGGGAGCGGGAGAAGATAAAGAGGAAGCGAGAGAGAAATTCAGTGGGAGAGAAGGAAGAGAGGGAAAGTCAATGACAGATAGTCAGTGGCAGGGAGAGAGGCGGGGCGGGCTTGCTTCCTTTCTGGCAGTGATATTTGTCTTTCTATCACATTCCATTATTATTTTTTCTCAGCCACCTAACCTTAACGAATGGCAAGGAAAAATATTTTTAAACAGTTTTTGTTTAAACGAGTGAGTGGGTAGAGAACGATATTTGAGAGTTCTTAGCCCACACCGCCACACCGTACCCCAACCCCACTTTTGTTATTAAAGTTGATGAATTATTCAAGACGTGGCTAATCACTGTTGAAATGTAACTTCTTAAGCCCACAATCTTGCACAAATATTTGTCCAAAATACCATGGAATAGACCTTAACAACAGCCCAAGATAAATGCGACTTGCAATATTTATTAGGACGTAATCCCTGCGTCACAATCCGCCATTCGGGATAAAGCCCTTACGCCCTTTATTTATGATTGCAGCTTTAGGGTGGTTGAGAGCGCCGTGGGGGGGGGGGGGGGGGGGGCCCTTACTGAGGGGGGTAAAAACAACTAAATTAAAAAAATGAAATGAACTTTGTGGCGTGTCCATTCAAATGTATCCCAGCATCCTCATATATTTGAGTTCATACACCAGCAACTGTTGTGGAATCAGAGCTTTGCATCCTCATATACTTGAGTTCATACACCAGCAACTGTTGTGGAATCAGAGCTTTGCATCCTTATAAACTTGAGTTCATACACCAGCAACTGTTGTGGAATCAGAG